AATAGAATAGAATAGAATAGAATAGAATAGAATAGAATAGAATAGAAGCTGGAAGGGACCTTCAAGGTCTTCTAGTCCAACTGGAACTTCACCACTAAGTGATATGATTGTTAAGTGAACTGTCACATGACCACTCTTGATTTTGTAATCTTTCTTGGTGTGGTCCTTCAGCAAATGCATTGACTGCTTGTGTCAGTATGTGCTCCTTTCAAAATCCAAGAAAGAAATACTCAGACTCCATGGTTCAGAGCAAAGTTCTTCTTTTACTGGAAGATGAAAAGGAAGCTACAAATGGAATTCCGAAAGTGAGAATTTGGCGCGCAGATCACACATACAAAGAAATGGAATTGTTCCCACCCCCCCAAAGTCCAGAAGTCTCTGCCAATTAAAAGTTCCGAATATGATCATGTGAGCATCTTCAGGTAGTGATGAGGCCTCTGTCCGTTGACCTTGACATATTTTGATAAGACCTCGCAGCTGCGCAAAAAGGATAGAGGCTAGGAAAGAAATGGAAAATTGGAAAGAAGAAATCCCCCCCCTTCTTCTGCCCACAGTAAAAGAATGCAAAACACCTCCAGCTCTCTTCCCCCCCACAATTACCCCTCCCCCCCATTGCTAATGACAGCCGAAAGAAGTAAGCCTAGTAGTAGAGATACTAAGGGAGAAATAAAGGATAATAGTTGGGGTACCCGAAGAGATCTTGAGGCTGACAGCTTGTCCCAAAGGATGGTTGCAAATGCCAATCATGGGATCCCAGAATGTCCCAACTATCCTTAAGCGCAAGGGAAGATTGCATGACCCTCCCCCCCACCATGACATCGTAGCTTTGAAAGGTGGCTAAACAAGCAGGTTGAGGACTCCCCAGAGAAGGAACAAGGCGACTCGGTTTCTCTCTTCCCTCCAGACCTTCCTTCCTCTCATGCTGTGCCTCCTTGGTTGGTAAACCCAAGGCAAATGTTATCCTTCTTTATGGATCAGCACGCTTCTTCAGAAAGAATAAAAGGCCTTCCATGGATAAGTCACTTGTTCTTACCATACTGAGAGCAATGAAGGAGAACACTGACATGGCTGTGAAGAGGATGGTGGGAATGAGCATGACAACAGCCGCGCCCACGTTGGTCCCAAAGAAAGAGATCGCTGCAATCCAGCCACTGCAGCAAGAAAGAAAAGAAAAAGAAAAGACTTTTTAGGGAATTTGGGGCATTTTCACCCATCGCTCAAGGGCGGTTTATTCTGTCTGGATCTGTTTAATCCTGAGAGGTTCAGGGTCTTAAATCAGAATGAAGGAAATTTTAAAGCAGGTGAAGGCAAAGATGCTCCTTTCAAATACAGGACTGCAAAAAGAAAAACCCTGCCTTTAATTATTTATACAAATAATTCAAGGTGGCAAACATATCTATTATTCCTTCCTCCTCCTGTTTTACCCACAACAACAAGCCTCCGAGGTGGGTTGGGCTGAGAGAGAGGGACTGGCCCAAAGTCACCCAGTTGGCTTTCATGGCTAAGGCAGGACTAGAACACCCAGCTTCCTGGTGATTGGCCCAAAATCAGCCAGCCAGCGGGACTACACATCACCATCTCCTGGAGATTGATCCAAAGTCACCCAGTCAGCTTTTTTGGCTAAGGGAGGACTAGAACTCACCACCTCCTGGTGATTGGCCTAAAATTGGCCTTTAGTGTTTAAGGCAGGACTTAAACTTCCAGCCTCCTGGTGATTGGTCCAAAGCCACCTAGCTGGCTTTAAAGTCTAAGGCAGGACTAGAACTCCCAGCCTCCTGGTGATTGGTCCAGTCCCCCAGTCAGCTTTCATGGGTAAGGCAGAACTAGATCTCCCAGCCTCCTGGTGATTGGTCCAAAGCCACCCAGTCAGTTTTCATGGGCAAGGCAGAACTAGAACTCCCAGCCTCCTGGTGATTGGCCCAAAGTCACCCTATCAGCTTTCATTTTACCAAGTCCATCAGAAAGTTTTCTGCCCGTCTTATCCAACTAGGGATCTGCGGCAAAAGCTAGATCTCAAGCGCCACGGACGCCGATCAAACACCAGAAGGCTGAAACAGCAACAACCGTCCCAAACTTACCAAACTCCCCAGCCGGGGATGCCGACGGCTTGAATGATGCTGATCACGAGCTGCGCCATGAAGGTGAAGAAGAAAGCCATGAAGCTGAAGGAGCTGTCCGTCCTGCAAATAAAATAAAAAAGAAGGTACTGTCTACTCAAACCTCAGCAGCTTCCTGAGGGGTGGACTTCAACTCCCAGAATTCCCCAGAGAGGCAGAGTCACGGCAAGGATCGCTGGTTGCTGCCATCCAATTCAGATTCCCATACAGTTGCCTGGGCCTCCGCTTTGTTTTTATATATTATCTTTTACTCATTAAATGTGAAACTCAGTCAACTGAACATTTAAAAATAAATCACAAATATCACTGAATGGCTCTGATGGTTGATACAGGTTGCTTCCAGCATCCTAGGTATCAACCAAGTATCTAGGATGCTGGCAGCAACCTATAGCAACTATGAGCGCCAGTCAATGGTATTTGTGATACATTTTTAAATGTTCAGTTGCCTGAGTCTCATGTCTCATGAATAAAAGAGATAATAGTAATAATAATTTGTGATACTTTTTAAATGTTCAGTTGACTGAGTTTCATATTTAATGGATAAAAGATAATATAAAAATTGTTATTATTGTTAATATTGGTTAATCTTTAGTGAGATTCACACAGCCTTTGGGGCTCAACAGCTTGAGTCCTAACCAAGGACCTAGGAACTGTTAAGGTAACTTAAGTATTAAGGTAAATTATTATTATTATTACTATTACTATTATTACTATTGTTGTTGTTGTTGTCTCTTTTATCCATTAAACATGAAACTTAGTCAACGAACATTTAAAAATGTATCAAAAATCCAGTGGCTGGCTCTGATGGTTGATACAGGTTGCGGCCAGCATCCAAGGTATCAACCAAGTATCTTCTTAAAATTATTATTATTATTATTATTATTATTATTATTATTATTATTATTAT